AATGTGAAGACTATAACTGTTCCAGCATGTGGGAGCCTGTGGGATCATGCCAGGGCACTGCAGCCAGGACTTGAGGTGACAAGACCAATTTTAGCCCAACTCCTGTTGGGGATGAGCTGCTAATGTATTCTCAAACTGAGTGAATTTTGTTAGGAATCAGGAAGACTTGAGTTGCCAGGTTGCAAGACTTAGTAACTGTTGATATATGGGACTGGGGAAGGCAGGGACTGATAAATCCCAAACTTTTGGAGTGGTGAGTTCCCACGCGATCTATTTCATTCCATGACCCATATAACTGTGGTATGCCACATGTCTATATAAAATAATTAAAACTAATTAAAATTAATTTTGGTTGGTGAGTGTTTGAAGAGTTTCATAATAACACTTGAGATAATTAGGGATGCTTTGGGATGTCACAAAAGGAGCATTTGGAATAACTGAGCTAGATGTTTAAACCAGAGACGTGCAATGAAGGCTTGTAAAAGAATGACAGTTCTGTGGTTGAAAGAACACTGGAATAGGAGTAGGAGTTTGGAGTTGTAATCATTATGCCTATAAACTGATTATTGAAAAACAACAACAACCTGGCTTTGTAGCACTTGCCAATTTCTGTGGTGTAAATACTCTCACTGTGGTGGATTTCAAATGATCAATGGTCTAACTACTGGCTCACACAATTCCTGAATATTTAATAATCAGCTCTTGTGAGCCCAATGCAAGACAGGTCCAGTACATCAATATAATCTTAACTGTTAGCTTTGTGACGTTGGGTAAATCACTTCATCTCTCTGGATCTTAGTTTTATTACCAACGAAGTGAAGTTGCTAAAATAACCTGTAAGGTATCTTCCAAAGTCAACATTTCAGTAATGTAGCTGGCGTTATAGGGCAGGACTAACGTCATGTTATAAGCCAAAAGAGTTACATCAGATTTTTCTGAATGTTATTGTGAGATATTGGGACAGATAATTTGATATCTGAGTCTGTGTCATAATCAACCATGTTCCGACTCCTGCTGTCAATGTGTGTGCCCTTCTCCAGTACCTCTTCCCAGGAGGATTAAAAATGGCAGTGCAGCCATTAGTGAGCCAAACCTCACCAGTGGGGTAAGAAACCATGACCCAGAGTCAGAGAATTCTACACTCAGTTGTCAGGTCCTAGGAGTCAGTTGTAGGGCCGTGACAAAATCTTGTAGCTTCGGTACCTTACCCTATCTGACCATGAGACCAACCGTGGCAGTCTTCCCTGGACTAATAACAACATGAGAAGTTAATTTGCTCGAAGCTTTTTAGAACCAAGGGCTGTGTCCTTCATGTCTATGTGTGTCAAATCCTGATACATAATAAGGACTCAGTGTTTGTTGAAAGAAAGAATAAACGATATGAGCCTTTTTAGAGCAAATTCTGAGTTTTATTTATATTTCCCCCAGCTTTATTTAGATATAATTGACATATAACATATAAGTTTAAGGTGTACAGCATGATGATTTGCTGACTTTTAAAATAGTAATTCAAAAGTGGACATGAGCTACTCTGTACTTACCTAAAGAGATGTATTTTTCAAACAAAGAAATTATTTTCTTGTAATAGAAAACTTCTCAGTGCCTTCAGTTCAATATTGGGAATTTAAATTTGCCTTCCATCTAGATAACACAATTGATGCACAGCCAGAATCCAATGAAGAGAAACACGAATGAGAAAAACCCAAACTGGGCATTTACTACCCACCAGTGAGTACTCTGCCTGCCTCAGTCAACAGAATTAGCTCATCTCTTTTGAAAGGAAAAAGATAATACTTATTTAAAGAGCATATACATAATTATATATCATGTGCCACTTTGCCAACATTTACAGGCACACCTCGTTTTATATCGCTTCACTTTACTGTGTTTTTTTACAAACTGAAGGTTTGTGGCAACCCTGCGTCAAACAAGTCTGTCGGTGCCGTTTTTCCAATAACGCTTGCTTTGTGTCTCTGCATCACATTTTGGTATTTATTTGCAATATTTAAAACTTTTTCATTATTATTACATTTGTTTTGGTGATCTGTGATCAGTGATCTTTGATGTTATCATTGTAATTGTTTTGGCTATTTTTTTTTTTTGGCAACAAAATGTTTTAAAATTAAGGTACATTGTTTTATGGACATAATGCTATTGCACACTTTAATAGACTACAGTACAGTGTAGACGTAACTTTTATACGCCCTGGGAAACCAGCACATTTGTGTGACTCGCTTTGTTGCAGTGGTCCGGAACTGAACTGGCAATATCTCTGAGGTCTGCCTGTACTCCTCACGATGACCCTCATAAGCTAAGCACTGTTATTCCCATTTCAGAGGAGAGGCTGAGAGGCTGGGCGATAGAGCCACTCGTGGCCGAGCCAGGAGTTCACAGCCCATAGGCGACGCACTTCTCCCCGGGTCAGCCTGCCTCAAGGCTTCCTGCGCTTTCTCTCCCTCGGGTCTCTGCTCCTTGCTTGCTGTGGGGGTCTGGATGCTTTGTCACATGTTACATGTGGGTGAACCTGGCTCAGCCCGCGACCAGGCAAACAGAAGCAGCAGCCTCTGACAGGGTTGTGAGCAAATATACTCCAAGCCGGGTCTGGCCGACTGGGGGAGCTGCGCTGTACTTTGCCCTCCTGAATCGGCTCCACGGAGGCCGTGGCAAAGGTAGCTGACAGGCTGTAGATCTGAGGGCCAGGTAAGTCTTGGTAGATGTGGCACCTGGACTTTGACAGTGTCCAGGAGAGCAGACACTCCTGGAGCTGCGCTGAGGGAAGGCGGTGGACAGCCGTCAGAGCAGGTGTGTGGGAATGCTAGCACCCTTGCTTGCTTTGTCTTGGCTGTACTTGCTGTGCTGTCAAATTAGGAAAGGCAATACTGACCTTAGTGGGACCAGGGAAGGTCATTTACGTGATGTGTGACTTGTCACCGTAGATGTAATGCCTTCATTTGGAGAATCTTAGGTGCTCTTCATTTGGGGTCCTTAATTGTAACCTGAGGTCTAACCTGCTGGAGTTGATATCTTGGCAACGAAAATCAATTGTAGTTGACTTTGGCAAAGGGACTGGGTATTGTGCCTTTGCAGTCGGAGGAGGGCTGTCTAGTGAAAATATCTGGGAACAAGGTGGAAGAAGCTTTCTTCTTGTTGAAATTCCTTGTGTCCAAATGCTATCAAGTTCCGTGGGCCTTCCGGAAAAACCCATTTAGCCTTTCACTGTGTCCAGGGCATTTGGCCTCTGCTCGGATTTGCTGGAAAAGGCTCTCATTGCGCCTGACTTTTTCAAGAAAGTGGGCTGACACGGGAAGGAAGGTGCAGGTTTTCCTGAGCTGGATTGCTCTTGAGGTGGAAGGCACTTCTGTGCTTTGTTCTCCTGGTATGTTCTGCTTACAGCTCTCGGCTCACAGCTGTGGACCCTGGCTCCGCCGCATTAGAGCAGTGTGACATCTTGATTTCAACACACACCCTTTGACCTTTTGTTCTGATATTCACTTTTATATTGGGCTGGGAGTTTCAGGAGCGGGAGCAAGTTGACTGGATCCGATCAGAACTTTTCAACGTAAAGTAGTTCCCAAGGGAGAAGAAACATGGGGTGTGACTGAGCTGTGTATTCTGACACGGGAGACTCCTGAGCAGCAGTAAGGTGTGATGTGTGCTTTTTCTTTGGGGGCAGCTGGACGCGGGTGCTGCTCTGTGATACAAGCAGAGAAGCTTGGAAGGTATCTTTTCCTCTGGAGCTATTTCCCATTTTGAAGCATAAGTGGGGAAAATCAGTTTGATGCTGGGGAGACTTCCAGGTTTTAAAATCTCCAGCCAGGAAGATTACTGAGACACGGCTCTCTAGTTTGTCAGGGAAGCAATCCCAAACTTGCGTCTCATCGCCTCCCCTGGAGCAGGGGCAGGAATGTCCAGATTATAGGGCCTAGTTCTTCTAAGACTTCAAGGATTCAGAAAAGATGTCTCTTGAGGTCACTTTAAGCTCCTTTTTATTTAGGAAATGTCTTCAGCTGCTCACACTACCCTAATCTTTATCTCTGATAACACTAACTGTTATTTATGGAACAATTACTATATACCAGCCAGAGTGTTTGGCACTTTATGTAAGGGTCTCTGACTCTGACAGTGACCCTGTCAGCTCATTATGGTCCTCATTTTATGGGTAAGGAAATTAAGGCTTGAAAAATTTAACTAGCTAATAAGTGGCAGAGTTAGGATTTGAACTGTGGTCTAGCTCTGTCTAAGACCCACTCTATTTCTATGACAGCGTAGGGCCTCCATAGTAAATGTTGAATAAACATTTACTGGTGGAATATGTGAGCACACATGTATTTTTAAATTTTTATTTTATTTTTATTTTATTTTTGGCTGTGTTGGGTCTTCGTTGCTGCGTGCGGGCTTTCTCTAGTTGTGGCAATCAGGGGCTACTCTTCACTGTGGTGTGTGGGCTTCTCATTACGGTGGCTTCTCTTGTTGCAGAGTACAGTCTCTAGGTGCACGGGCTTCAGTAGTTGCAGCACGCGGGCTCAGTAGCTGTGGCACGTGGGCTTAGTTGCTCCACGGCATGTGGGATCTTCCCGGACCAAGGATTGAACACATGTCCCCTGCCTTGGCAGACAGATTCTTAACCACTGTGCCACCAGGGAAGTCCAGCACACATGTATTTAATTGGGATACTTTGATAGTGTTTTGGAGCTTCATCTATTACTGTTCTCTCTCCCATGCCTCCCACATCTATGTTGCTCCAAATATACTTTTTAATTTTTGTAGCAACATCAATATAGTTGTTATTTCAAATAACAGCTGTAACAACAGTATAGTTGTTACTTATTTCAAATATCTCCTTGAGATTTTTTTCAGATATCTCTGTATCAGTGCCTGTGTGGTTTGTTTTAGATAGAAGATTTTGAGGACCATAGGTGCTTCTTTCACAAAACCTAATTAACCTTCATGTTTGGATATAGGCCTAAAATGATAATTTTTTCTTTCTGTTTTGTCTGTAGGAAGATAAAATAACTACACAACTGACTCAAAACACGAGAGAAATTCAGAAGGTCAGGGATGGAGCCTTGGGTTCCCCAGTGGCCGCCTCAGCCAGCGGGGAGGCCCCCAGCACCATCAAGGGATCCAGACCGAGGGCTTCAGAGAGATAGATACTATCGGCCTATTCGTCCCTCTTGGCACAATGGAGAGAGGGTCCAGCAAGAACAAGACATGGGCAGGAGCCCCCAACCACAGCAGGACCCTGGGGAAGACCACCAGCGGCCTCACTATGCGTCCAGGCCTGGGGAATGGCATCAGCCTGTGTCCAGGGTTGACTATTATAAAGGTGGTTATCCCAGTCAGCTGTATTCAAGGTATGGGTTTAGAGCTGGAATTGACCCAGCTCTCCTAAATGCTTACAAACAGATTGCTCTTTTCGTTGTTCCTTTTCCTTTTATTTCTCCTCTTTTTCTTCTTTTTCCTTCTCCACCCTACTACACTGACTTAGCTACACCCAAATTGGATTTTGGTGACTGAAAATATAATATTTTCCTTTCTTTATCCCCTAGGGGAGCTTCTTAAAGAAGCCATCACAATGTGATTGGGTGATGGGGGGAGAGGGTAGAAAGAATGATGAAATCCAAGACAGCAGATGAGACCCTCTTACTCTGGGATCACAAAAGGCAATGTTTGTAGACTCTGGAAAAGCTTTTCCTATGGATCTCTATAAAAAGTTCCTTATGCTCTTTGGAAGACTCTGACCCAGGGTTAGCACTGACCCACCAGCACCAAGAAGAGCCCTAGTGCCTAGAACATCACCTAGAGTGTGATGGGTACAGAAAAAAAATGTATTGAGTGAATGAATGGGAACTTAAAAAAAACCAGAGAAAGCAGATACAAGCTTGTAGCCTCCAAATTCAGAATGAAGAGGTCTCAGTGAGGTAATTCTGGGAGAATCTGGAGTTCCTTCTCCTGGACTTCATATTTTATGGAATGTTGCAAGCCATCTATTTTCTACTTTAACTTTTTCAGGTGGGGTGATGTTTTCCTGCCTCCAGATTTAGGGTTGAAATTATGACAAACATTGTCAAGAATTCTGCCCCTATGAAATAGTAAAGAATTATTAATTGATAACGATACTAACAACATGACGTTCCTTTGTTGAATTCTCGAAGGAAGGTATGTTAAGGACAGAGGCAATAAAAGCAATCAGATTTAAGATGGTCCAACTTGACTTTTTCATCTCATTGCCATCTATAATATGCATGGGAATTACAGTGGTATATGGGGCACTTACACAGTCTTCTTGGGAAGGGGTTTCTTAAGGTGATGTCAGAGCAGGGTTTTCTCAGATAATATTTTGTGTTGTTGGTTGTGTGTGTATTGGAGGAGTAAGAGGGACCATGGGGAGGGAGAATGAGACACTTGGCTATGGTTTTGCTATAAAAATTGCAGCCTTGTTCTGACACAACGGTCCTACTCCTGCTCTGATTCGGGATTTTTTGGTTATGGGATCCAGAATGAACCGTGGCTTTAGAGCAGATTCCAGACGGGGGTCACAATTCTGTCCCCTGAAGTTGTTTCGTTTGTCCAGTCCTCCATTGGTTTTTCTCTTTACCATGCTCAACCTTGAATGACTGGTCTTCTTTGTGATTCTTTAGGCCGGGCATTGAGGATCTCTATCAAAGCTATCACTCTGCAGCCCTAAGGGAAGAATATGCTTATGGAAGTTATTACTGCCATGGACACCCGCAGCAGCTGCCGGAAGAAGGAGGTACGGAATAATCTCCAAGAAGCCTTTGGGATGGTGCAGCTGGTCGGATAGGGCAGAGGGCAAAGGGGCCGTGCTCGGAGCCTCACCCTGGGCCTCCTGCTGGGCTGAGGTAGAGCCCCAGCCTCACCTGCTTCTTGCTTGGCCAGATGAGGCCACAGCGATGACACTACTGCTAAATGTCTTGAGAAGAAGAGATAGAAAAGAGTCGTTTTTCTTTGTACGTGTAGATGATGGCACTGACACCATTACTACATTGCTAGTATTGTGGATAGTTGGTACTTGATCCATATTTTTCTCCTAAGATTATAGTCTCTGACCAAGTAACAGTGAAGCCAGTTCTTAACAGTGAAGTCATCAAGTGTGTGGCTAGGCTGTGATGAGTCTGACCACCATTTACCCTGAGGGAGGCAGATATGTACAAAAAAGAATTTAAACCTTACACCAATAGTAAGGCTTTAGGTAGGCACTAAAGGCATCTTCTGACCTGCTAGCAAAGAGAAACCTGTTCCAACGTTGAAAACACAAACATCTGTGCACACACATAGGATCCGCATTGTATAGAGCTGTGCTCATTGGTTCAGAGAGATGCGTCTTATGGGCTTTCACTGTTGGCTTTTACTTATCAACTTTACTTGACTCAGTTTGGCAAATACGGTCAGCCCTCCGAATCTGCGGGTCTGCCTCCAACTGATGATTGAAAATATTAGAAGAAAAGAAAATTCCAAAAAGCAAAACTTGAATTTGCTGCTTGTAGGCAACTATCTGCATGAGCACCTACATTGTATTTGCAACTATTTACATAGCATTTACATTGTATTAGGCATTATAATTCACCTAGAGATGATTTAAAGTATATGGAGGATGTGCATAGGCTATATGCAAACACTACACCATTTTTTATAAGGGACTTGAACTTCCCCAGGTCCTGAAACCAATGCCCCCCATGGATACGGAGGGATGATTCTATGTTTTTATACCTGCTGTGCTCCAGTAACTCAGCTTCATGGCTTGCTAATGTCTTTCTGAACTTTTAGGAATAGGAAGTGACCTGTCTTTATTTTGTTTTTTTCTGAGGGTGCAGTGCCAAGGCAAGGGAGTCCTTATATCTGGCATGAAGATTATCGAGATCAAAAGTACCTGAATGAATACCAACATGAAAACCAGAATAGTCCGTTTGGAACAAATAGTGAGAACCAGTTCCAGTAAGTGTGAAAGGAGAGGCTGGTTCAACATGATTCAGCCAAACGCAGGCTATGTTAGGCAAACCTTATGTCATCTGGTGCTGATCCCTCATCTTCAGAAGCCCATCTGCTTTTGTTCTGGCCACAGGGGTGTGAGAGTAACCTGGGTTGGCTGGGACCAGCTGTTCCCATGGACACTAGCAGGAGGGATTCTTAATTCTGAGAGGTGGTTCCCAAAACCTGTGAGTTTACTTGAGGTCCATCTTAGAGGAGGGCCTTAATGCTATGTTGGCCTCGGAACAGATGTGGCCTTGCAGAAGTTCTCCTGATTGGGTCCTGCCTGGGGCTGGGGTGCTTCTCTGCCCCTCCTGTGCCCTGAGAATGGGCTCTCCCATGGGATAAGGTGAGCAGGGAACAGCATTTTGTTCAAGCACCTGTCTGGTGCCCTTAGACCTGGTGCCTTAACCCTGCCTGGAACTCACCAACCCAGCTGCTCTGATTTAACTTATTCCAGGACATCGGGCTACAGAGACTGAGCCTCCTCTGCAGGGTTTGGGGCCACTTCTAGTAACTGTGCTATGAACCCCAGGAGCTCCTGTTTTTCTGGTCTGATAGACTGAGGCGGAGAAATGGAGGACAGGGATTTTCCCTGCGACACACGGGCCAACCTGACACCTGCCCACGTTTTGCAGCAGAACAGCCTCTAGCAGAGAGCAGCTCAGCCTCGCTGGCCTGCCCTGGACCCCCTCTCACCTGCTTCTGTCATTTTGCCACAGATCTAAGCATTGGAACCCTTATAAAGACAGCCCTGCTTCTAACTCTGGACAGGAGAGGCCTGGGGACTTATTTCTGGAGAGTCCGCTAACTGGGGCCCAGAAAAACAAGGTAACCTGAAGTGACATGGGGCTGGTGGTCTGTGACAGTGCATCACCCCTGCCCTCGTCAGTAGGGGCGGAGCAGGGCCCCGTGGGGCGGGGTCCCCAGTGGCCAGCAGTCTGAGGGGTCCCATTCCTCCCCAGTTGGCAGAGCCTCTACCCACCTCTTCCTTTCCCTGCTCCCTGTTTCAGTCTTCTGGATCTGGGGCCCTGATCTGGCCCTTTTGCATTTTTTTTGCCAAGTTGGCTGGATCAGGAAATGTCACCCAAGTCACTCCAAGGTAGGAAAGAGAAGAGGCTGTCACTGGTACCCCGGTGGATTAGCAATTCGGTTTACCCAGGAAGTGGGAAGTTACTAGAATCTTTTAATTCAGGTCTGAAAAGCAGAACTTTTCTTGACTCTTCCATCTCTCTTTTCTAAAATCTTACTGTGTGTACCAGCTGGTTTACAAAATGGAGCTCTTGAACTTTTTTTACAATAAACTTTAAATTTTGGAATAATTTTAGATTTATGGAAAAGTTACAAACATACTACAGAGACAAGCTCTTCATTTTTGACAGTCTTGTATTAATTTTGTATCCCTGATGAGATTTGTATGATTTGTGGGGACAGTTTCTTCTGTACACCTGATGCTTCACAGGGCGTGGCACCTATTATGACTGACAGTAACAACAACACAATAACAGCAGCCATACACACGTACAGCACTTTACAGTGTGGACAAAGAGCTTTTGTATCCATTGTTTGCATCCATTGTTTTACAGTCCTCAGGATGTAAGTTCCGTGAATTTCTTGTACACCTGTATCCTTAGGGAAAGCATAGCACCTGGAGCATAGTAAGTGCTCATTAAACAGTTGGTGAATGAATGCAAGAGTAAGTACTTGAACTATATAGGGTAGGTATGATTATCTACATTGCAGATAAAGGTCCTGAGCTCAGCGAGTCTAAGTCACTTGTTCAAGTTCACAGCACTTGGTATTGACAAAGCTGGGATTGAATTCAGCCTCCCTGACCCCAGGACCTGCATGCTTCCCACTAGGCCACAGTGAATCCTTTAGCAAACACCTGTCAATTGAATGATCCCTTCTTTTCCTTTCAGCACATCCACATTCATTATATTTATTTGAAAGTTTGAATTTTGTTGCTTTGAAGAAACACTTGGGAGGACCGTCTCTCTGAAAGTGCTTCTGATTCTTCCCATGTGATTTGTTGTTTTTAATTTCCAGCCATCACTGACCGAGGAGTCCAACCTTCTCCAGCAGCACGAGTCTGGTCTCACCTCCAGCAGCTATGAGCTTAGTCAGTACATGACAGATGCCTCTGAGCTGTACGACCCCATGGCTGCAGCGGGTTGGAGTCCAGTTCAGGCTGGTGGGTACTGAAGTGATCAAAGGAGTTGGCTGAGTCTGTTGAGAAGAGGGCTGGGTGGCACATGTCTTGGAAAGTCACCTTTGCCCTGTATTTCCAAGAATAGACCATTTGTCTGCCTCATTTTTGTACATAGGTCTCCTGAGCAGAGTGGCCAACTGTGGCTCCATTTCCCCCCTTTTCTCTGGTACTGGAGGTTGCATCATAGCTGCTTCTTGGAAGGGAACACAGCCCCTAGCCATCATCAGGCTGGGAGAGGAGGCACTCAGAGGTAGTTAGGTAATAGGTGAAGAAAGTAAAGACCAGAGTCAGTTTGGGAAAGCGAAGGCAGGTCACAATGGTCTGGATGTAGGAGACTTGCCCTGAGTACTGGGGCTATGAGAGCCAGAGTTCCCAGCGTGTCACCATTGCTGGGAGTCTGGCCCTGGTGCATTATCATTTGCACCAAACCATCAACTCCTTGCATTATATTCTGACATATTCTCAGAGGTTCAGCTCTCACTTGGAGCATGGGCTTCTTCTAGTTATGTAGCCCATCCAGAATCTTATCTTGGTCCCAGGTGGAATTTGGAAAGAAGTGTGTCTGTGGAGTGTTTCTAAAGTAAAGCAAAGCAGTGGCAGTAATGCTAACAGTATCCATCTGTGTCTGTTGGTCAGAGGACATCTCGGCATCTGGTCCCAAGACACCTATGAAGTTCTACATCCCTCATGTGCCTGTGAGTTTTGGGCCAGGAGGTCAGCTGGTGTGTGTGGGTCCCAGATCTCTCAGTGATGGACAGACGGCCCTTGTTGAACTGCACAGCATGGAGGTAAACAAGATTCTGTGTCCTCGGAATGTCAGCAATCTGCTCCCTGCTTCCCTTTGCCTGAGCCCTGGGCATCTCCAGGAATAGGGTGCTCTTGGAGGGGACTGGGCCAGGCACCCTATGGATTGGGGTGTGTGTGTTTGTGTGTGTGTGTGTGTGTGTGTGTGTGTGTGCGCGCGTGCATACGCGCGCGTGTGTGTATGAAGGAATGGCTGGGGCTCTTCTGTGAGAGAAGTAATGCTAGACTTCTGTTTTTCCTGAGATGGTATTGGGTCATATTCAGCAACTAGAGAGCTCATTTCTGTCCTCTGCTTTCCCCATGAGGCACTGAGCCACATCCTAGGATCACGGCTCTGGGTTCTGATGCTGGACTTGACTGAGCAAATGCGGCACTGGGGGGCATAGTCTTGAAGACCAAACTTGATTTTTTGTTCCAGGTTATTCTTAATGATTCTGAGGAACAAGAAAAGATGAGGAATTTCTCAGGACCCCTGATTAGGTAAATTACCATGAGAGATGCAAAATAAGGGCTTTTGAAACCTATAAAATCTTCCTGCCCAGATCAGCATTTTGGGGATTTGTTCTTGACTTCCTTGAAAGAAAATGTCTCTCCCCGTTGGAGTGGAATCTCCGTGCTACAAGTTGGAGCCAAATGTGGCCTGAGCCATTTTGACAAGCAATTTGAGTGTTGAAAAGCAGAAAGAAAAATTAACTTAAAGGTTTAAAAATCTGAAATCAGTTCTATTTTACAAAGCCTACATGGTAAGGGGTTTTAGCGTTCTGTGTACTTAATAGTACTTAAGCTGGTAGAAGAGTGGAACACAGCCTGGGAAATCCTAGGCAAGTGGATCATATGGAAAAATTTTTTCTGGGGAGGTAAGTAACATGGCCAGCATTTGAGTTACTGGACAGTGTGCAAGTCTGCCCTCTGCAGGATTGAGCTAGAACTGCTTTTACATTGCTAGTCATGTTACTGATAAATATTCAGGATGCTCTTTGTCGTGGAGAGAGGAGTCCTGGCTGGTGTCAGAGGTGAGATAATGCACACCAAAGCCCTTAAAATATCATCACTACTGTGTAAATGTGTTCTTATCCTGAAGCTTCCCCCTCCAAGAAAATCCGCATAGTATTTTGACAGTTCCTTCAAGTAAAAATGAGTGTTGTCTCCATTTCTTACACACAGGTATACAGATGTGGGGTAGAGCACCGAGCTGGGTATTTGGACACTAGGGTACTTACTGGTCCCAGTTTGATTGATTTCATTGAATGATCTCAAGCAAATAATAATTCCTGTTTATTGAGCACGTATATACACTACACAATTGGCTAATTCCTTTTTGTACGGAGGTAGACTTTTAACAAATTTTTAGTTTGAAATATAGTTGATTTACAATGTTGTGTTAGTTTCAGGTGTACAGCAAGGTAATTCATATATATATATATATATATATATACACACACATAGGTATATATATATCTATTCTTTTTCTGATTCTTTTCCGTTATAGGTTATTACAAGATAATGAGTTGGAGGTAGACTTTTTAACTATTCCTATTTTAGCAAAAAGAGCAGAGGCTCAGAGGAGATAAGAAACTTGTGTAAGCTGAGAAGTGGCTGGCTAGATTTAAACGCAGCGTTGTCTGAGCCCAAAGTCTGTGCTCTTCCTTGCTACCAAACAGTCATTTCAGGTCTCTGGGCCTCAGTTTCCTCCTCTGTAAAATGGAGAGGGTGGACAAGAGAATCTCTGAGGTCCCTTCTTGTTCTATAAGGAAACAACTATTCTGTAGCTATAGACTCACTACCCCCGTCCTGGATTGTCAGCCTTCTATCCCATCTCCAGCCCCAGCAACACCCTCACACTGTAGGAGGGGACTGTGGTCCTACCCGGGGGGAGGAGTCTGTCCCTCACTCTTTGCTCCCTGAAATCTCTCCATAGGGAAGATGTACACAAGGTGGACATCGTGACGTTTTGCCAGCAGAAAGCAGCGCAGAGTCGCAAATCTGAGACACCAGGGAGCAGAGACTCGGCTCTACTGTGGCAACTGTTGGTTCTCCTTTGTCGGCAGAACGGGGTCAGTATCACCGCGCTGGCAGGTGGGCAGGTGCAGGCTGGGTTGGAATTGAAGTCTTCCTGGGAGAGAGAAGATTCGGCTTGTGGCATGATTGATTATAAAAGGTAACATTAAAGAAGCAACAAATGGCCTCAAGGGGAAAAACTGCTCAGATGTCAATGCCAGTTTGCTAATGCTAACCTTTCCCCTGCCCTTCTCCACTGGCCTGGGGTTATCGCCCAGTTCTTGGGTTACTGCGCTAAGCAGATGATACACCTGGGAGAGTGTGCATATTTCTGGTCATCTTTGTGGCTCCTGACAGGCAGAAAGCAAGCCTGAGAGTGAAGCTGGAGTTTGAATTACAACAATCTAAGAAGGGGCTGTCTTGTGTTTGCATGTCAGCCTCCTCCTGAAGAGGGCAGGTGCTCTGGTGCCTTCCTTCCTCAGCCTGGGCTGCCAGCATGAGGATGAATAGGATTCTCTCCCAGGATGGCCCTCTTTCCC